TGATTGAGACTGTTGCTCCAAAAAGAGTTGATTTAATGTGTATGCCACTATTTCTCTAAACCAGTTAATTCCTCTTTCCTTGGAACTGGAGAATGTGTCTGACTGAGTGAAAAAGCAGCATGGCAGCCAGACCAGGACTGCAGGAAGCAGCATGTATGTGCATGTGATTCTGCTCATGTGACACATCCTGGTACCTCCACTGCTGCATTGCAGCATTTATTTGAGCAGGCACTGAGCAAAAGCTAGGTAGTACAGAGAGCAAGCAGCAGGAAAGTACTAAGAGCACAGAGCTGGATTTGGGCTATGTGACCTGCCTCTTTACTAGTCTGCTGCCTTCATATGTGGTTTAAGATGCTGTCCTATATCTAGTCTTTAAGAGGGGAACGGGGTGTGGGGAGGAAGTCACCCTTCATCTCAGCCAGCAAAAGGTCTTGGATCAACCCTGACTGGCTCATCTGGGTTTCTATTCCCAGAAGCAACAAAAAAGTGGTGAAAGAGTAACAGCCCAAGAGCAATGTTGGAGGAGAAATAGAGAATGATGAATACCAATATGAAGAATCATAGATTATGACCATAGGTTGCTTTATATTCACTGTTCAAAAATTAAAACTTACCTTGGCTCTTTAAGAACAGCTGTGGTTCTTTGTGGGTAGGTGATGTTTATGTTTAGCTATTGTAGATCATGACTAGTCATACATTCATAGTCATCTGAAAATTCTTCCAGGAGGTGACAATACACCCTAAACAGGTTGCCATATTTCCCTAAACGTAAACGTAAAGGGACCCCTGACCATTAGGTCCAGTCATGACCGACTCTGGGGTTGTGGCGCTCATCTCACTTTATTGGCCAAGGGAGCCAGCGTACAGCAGCCAGGTCATGTGGCCAGCATGACTAAGCCGCTTCTGGGAAACCACAGCAGTGCATGGAAACACTGTTTACCTTCCCGCCGGAGCCGTACCTATTTATCTACTTGCACTTTGACGTGCTTTCGAACTGCTAGGTTGGCAGGAGCTGAGACCAAGCAACAGGAGCTCACCCCATCACAGGGATTCGAATTGCCAACCTTCTGATCAGCAAGTCCCAGGCTCAGTGGTTTACACCACAGTGCCACCCGCATCCCTAATCTGTGGCAAAATCAACAGTCGCTGCTGGTGTGGAAATCTTTTAGCACATTTTGGGGGGATTGGTGGTTTGTTAACTGTGTGCTGACTGTTCAGTGTGTAGTGTCTATAGCCACATGCCTCCTTCCACCTGCTCCTTGCATAATCAGATTTGCACAGTGTATGTGAATATTTCTCTAAAGTAATTTCTCTTTCCTTGGAATTGGGAAATGTGCCTGACTAAGTACAAATGCATCAAGACAGCCAGGAGGTTTCATTTATGTTCATGCATTGTTCTGCTCATGTTACACATGCTCAGAGTCAGCCTACCCATGAGGCGAGGTGAGGTGAGGGAACCGTCTCAGGTAGTAGGGGCAGCAGACCTTGGTGTAGATCTTTATTTTCTGCTTGTTCCTGAATATCTTCACTCACCCTTTCTTTCCCGGCAGGGACTGGAGTGCTGTTTTGATGTTCATCCCAGGTACCAATATGTCTTGGGCCAACCTTACAAATGTTGGTACCTCCACTGCTGCATTGCAGCTTTTCTTTGAGCAGCCACTGAGGGAAAGCTAGGCAGCACAATAAGCAAGAAGCAGCCAAATATTAGAGGACAGAACTGGGTTTGTGCTTTGTGACCTGCCCAATGCCTCCTAAGGTAGCCTCTGCCCTCATGTGTGGTTTGCAATGCTGCCCCATCCTTAGTCTTTGCACAGGGAATTGGGGTGAGGGAGAGAGAGAAAGCAAGTCAACCTTCATCTCAGTCAGCATAATGTCTTAGATCAACCCTGAGTGGCTGGGTGGCAATTCTAGATTAATTTGGATTTCTGTTCCCAGAAGCAACAACCACCACCACAACAAAACTGCTCAGGGAAACTTGTGCTGTAAGAGTAACAGCCAGAGAGTGATGAAGGTGGAGAGACAGGGAATGATGAAATAAGAAAAGAAAAGAAAAGGAATAATAGATTTCTACTATGGATAGAGTTGAATTAATATTTTAAAAATCAAAACTTACCTAGGCTCTTTAAAAACAAGTGGGTTTCATTGTGGGTAGGTGAAGTCTTTTGTTTAGCTGTTATGGGTCATACATTCATAGAGTCGTCTGAGAATTTTACGTCTTCTTTTCACCCTTGCCAAAACATGGTGTAGCAGTTTTATTTCTAAATCGGGTTTTAAAAGCTGTATGTGTAGGAGGTTCATTGGATATCTGCTTTGGCATTTTGGGAAAACACTCCCATGAGTCTAAACAGCTGATCAGAACTGGAATTTTCCCACTCCAATTATTGCTGCCTCTGTTTTTTGTCACAAACAAAAAGAAATAATTAATATTAGCACTCTGTGTCTGATGCAGCATTCCAGAGCACACTGCATTTTGGAGGGAGCTCAGCCCTTTTGTCCCAGAGTGGTGTAGTGGTTAAGAGTGGTAGTCTCATAATCTGGTGAACCGGTTCGATTCCCTGCTCCTCCATGTGCAGCTGCTGGGTGACCTTGGGCTAGTCACACTTCTTTGAAGTCTCTCAGCCTCACTCACCTCACAGAGTATTTGTTGTGGGGGAGGAAGGGAAAGGAGATTGTTAGCTGCTTTGAGACTCCTTAGGGTAGTGATAAAGCGTGATATCAAATCCAAACTCTTCTTCTTTTTCCTTGCAGTCCCCCATGTGTGGATCGGAAGATAGATATGAGGATTAGTGCACATATCAATGAACCAATCAATGCATGGGTTTGGCAACAATACTTGTGAAGTTGTCTGAGGGCTGCCTTCTTTATTTCAAAAACATATTAAAACTCATTGGAACTGCTAGTAAAGTCACTTTCACACAGATAAAACGTAACAAGGGATCATCTGTCATGTATTACTCTGTCCTGGGCTATATGAGTTTCTTGGCCATTGTCAGCCAAGCATGGTTTTTTTTGCCTGCCCAGAAACAACCTGACAGATTTATTGAAATCAAGTTTATCACGTTCAGCATGTTGATATTTTGCAGTGTTTGGTTATCTTTTGTTCCAACCTACCTGAACACAAAGGGAAAATACATGGTGCCTGTGGATATATTTTTTCACTTAACTTTCATTGTTGGGCTGCTGGGTTGTATCTTTCCCCTCAGATGTTATACATCATTGAGTTTAAGCCTGGCCTGAGCAACAGGGCACAGCTAATAAGAAAGAAATGTGTCTGCAGTTTGCTATAGTCCACAGCTGATTGTATTTTGTTGATACTAGTGTCAATATTTTCTAAGGCATTCTGTCTTGGCAGCTGCCTAAAAGCTTTAAAAATCACTTCTAGTTGTTTTCTTTTAAGTATTTTGAATATACTCAGATTTTATTAAAAGTTAATCTGATGCACATGGAGACCTAAAGTATAAGCTCAGCTAACTAGCCAGCCTAGAGGCCTTGGGCCTATTGTTTCTTTGTAGTGCTTTATCTTGTGCTAGGAGCAGCTTTACTCCCAATTTTGTAAACACATTCCTAAGTGTCTACATTTGACAATGAGACATGCTCTGCTCAAATGTCCTAACCCCCTCAGGTAGAAAGGAATGCAAAGAGATCACATGCAGCGGGGGCTGCTTAGAGAGAGAGTTCTTTGTTCGCTTGCTCAATGAATAGGTAATGAAGGAAAGACCATACAGAAGCACTGAGGGCCTTCTGGTGGTCCCTCACTGGGAGAAGCCAGGTTACAGGGAACCAGGCAGAGGACCTTCTCAGTAGTGGCACCTGCCCTGTGGAACACCCTCCCAACAGATGTCAAAGAGAACAACAACTACCAGACTTTTAGAAGACATCTGAAGGCAGTCCTGTTTAGGGAAGCTTTTAATGTTTAACAGACCAAGCTTGTTGGAAGCCGCCCAGAGTGGATGGGAAAACCCAGTCAGATGGGTGGGGTATAAATAATAAATTATTATTATTATTATTACACATGGTATACCGGTAATTATTATTGTGTTGTAACTTTAGATTGGAGGAAGTTTATGTATATGTACTGCTTTAATAGATAACAGCTCAAAATTATCTACCTAGTCATAGGTTTCTTTTTTCAAAAATCATGTTTAAATAACCAGTAATAAAATAAACAAATGAATAGTCCTAAATATAATAATAATTCCCAGTTTTCTTAACCATTTAATCATACTGGCTCATGTGTTTCTTCCCCAAACAATTATGAGTGTGAATCACACAAATATTAATACAAATTTATTCCTTAAACATAACATTACAGTCCTGAATTTTGACCATTTTCTCCATGGCAGAGACTCAACTTAGTTAAACAAAATGAAAAACTTCTCTTCAGATGTGGAGGGGGAACGTTTTTCTTCAGCAATTCCTCAGAGAATTCACAACTTCAAACTGGAGATTAGCCTGCCCATTAATTATCAAAAGGACTATAATTATATTCTCCCTTATACTAAAACCCCAAAGAATTGCAGTGGCCACCAGCAAAAACAGAAAATAAAAGAATTACAACTTTTGTAGGATGATACAAATATATCCCTCATAGCATTCCAATCTGGGACCAGGACAAAATACACACAAGACTCTTCCACTTTGATATCTGATGTTTTGCACTTTAAGTTGGAACCTTAAAAGATGAGAATAGAAGGAAACAGGAGCATCCATGTCAAAGGCAAGGGAAAATTGCAAACTTTTGAAAATGAAGTCTGTATTGCTGTTGAATAGTTATTTGTTTTCTGATTTTGAACATGAGAAGAAAAATTATGTGTACCAATCTGGATTTTTGCCCCGTTTTTGTTTTAATTCCTTAATTCCTTTGTTACACATTTTGTGTGTTTTTAAAATAGTGTAAACAGCCCTGTGATCTTTAGATGAAGGGCTGTATAGAAATAATAATAATAATAATAATAATAATAATAATAATAATAATAAAATAAATATATATTGTATACAGGATGGAGATTCTAGTAGCATTTCTTCTGATACAGCTTCCTCATATGGCATGCAAGGATCACATTCTTAACTGCATGGTTAAAGATCCACACCCTCCACTTCATGACTATCAGCAGCCAGGTGACCTCTTCATTGGTGGAATTGTTTCCCAGAGCATCATCGTCACAAATTTAATACCGTTCACAGAAGTACCACCACAGACTCTGCATGAAGAGCTTCTGTAAGGAATTTGTTTTTAATGCATTATTCTTTCTATCTGTCACTTGAGTAATGTGTCTTGGCAGCTGCTGCCTGAGTTTGTCTCACTGTTAATAGATTTCACTATGTTTACAGCAACAAGCACTCAATAAACTGCAGTGCAGAAGTACTCCAACTTTCATATGGTTTGGTTATTTAATTTTCATTTAGGACAAGTGGTCTTCAATAAATTGCCTATTTAATGTTCTAGTAGTGAAGATGGTGATAATCTTACAAGATGCAGTACACAGGTGAGGGGGAAATGGTCAGCCAAGGTCCATATTCACCCTTTGCCTCTAGTCTAGACGCGCGACTCTGCCTCGCTGGGTTTGGTCTCCCAGCAGAGACGGGTCACACGCGCCCCTCCCTCCCTCCCTCAGCCTGCGCGGAGGGAGAGCCAGAGAGAGGCATCGCTCCTGCGCGGCGGGAGAGGGAGCAGCCGGAGCGATGCCCCAAACGAACGCATGGGACCGGAGGGGAAATCCTCTCCGAGGCGGATTGAGCGCAGCTGAGAGAAGCCTTTCGAGGAGCTGCCGTGTCCCCTGGAAACCCCCTTCCCAGCTCTGCCTCAGCCGCCGCCGCCTCAGTTGCCGCCGTCCCTCAGTCCCTCGCTCTGCTGCCTCCTCCCACCCCCAAAGCTTGGAGGTTCCCCAGCAAGGGGGAGCTCTAGAGTCACATGCCAGCATCTCCAAAATCCCATGATCAAAATTATATGCATGTACTGGACACAAAACAACCACATACATACACAGACAAAATACACATGCATACACATCCCCCTCTTCATTGGGGAGATGTCACCTGAAAGAGATATTTAAAACTCCCGTCTCCTGCCCTCTCAGCTGATACTGGAAATATGGCTTGCTCATTTAACATATTTCAACGGGTGCACTGCATTGTGGCTTCCATGGAATTGGCCTTTTAACAAAATGAATATATGTTTTTGCCAACCATGGTTGGAATTGGATGAAAGCAGGCGGTAGGGCAAATGTGCTGCTCTGCTTGGCCAAAATCAGAAGAGCCCTGGCAGATAACTCTTTGCTCCAAGCATGCTTTGGCAGCACAGTAATGACAGCACACTGCAGTAGATGGTGGCATTAACCCTGACAATTTATTCTGCTGCTGGGGAGGAGAATTGCTGAAAAGGCTTTATGAGATTGATCTGGTTATCCATAGGCCACCAGTGCCCTAACCCTACTGGAGAATGACATTCTAATACACAACAAATCTCTCTTTCTAGTGTGGTAACAAAGAATTACCAACACATTCTCACCTTGGCATTTGCAATCAAGGAAATAAATGAAAACCCTCAGCTGTTACCCAACATCACCTTGGGTTTCCACATTTATGACAGCTATTTTACTGCCAAAGGGACCTACCATGCTACAATGCTACTGATATTCACACCATGGAAACATCTCCCAAACTACAAATGTGACATCCAGGATAACCTCATTGCAGTTATTGGAGGACTGGACCCACTGACCTCCTTGCACATGGCAACAGTCTTGGATATTTACAAGATTCCACAGGTAGGACAGATCCTTCCAGATTTTTAGAGGCAGACAGAGGGAGAAAGGGACAGAAGGAGGTACAATTGGAGCAAACAGGTAGATTTTCCTTATAAAGAGATGAACATCAAATCTAAGCCAAGCAATACAGCCCTCTGAATTGATCTGTAAATCTGAATTAAGAAATGTACTTTAAAAGCATAGACTTATCATGAGTCCTGTGGAGAGAATCAGGACACAGTGAGGTTGGCAGGATTGTTCTGAAGGGGAGAAGGAGGAAGCCTCCAATTTGGCAGAAGGGGAACATCAGGACAGTGGTCTGGATAAGGGTCCTACCCCAGTGTCATCAGGGGTCCAGGAAGGGGAGTGGGAGTCAGAGGGGTCCTCTTCTACACCTCAGTAATTTCGTTGTCCCCGAGAGGGGGTAATGGCAATAAATATTATTATTATTATTATTATTATTATTATTATTATTATTATTATTATTATCTGGAAAGTGAATTTCCCCCAGTAGTAGAGTAGCTGTGTAACTTTTCAGTAATTTGTCACTGAAGCCACAATGCTGCATGGGAAAAAGACAATTTTAACGTTCCAGGAGAGTTATAAGAATTGTTCATTTGATGAATGTAGATTACTTTGAAGACTTCAAATAGAAGAAAAAAAACTTCTTTCATTCTCTATTCTCCTTCGCACCTCCTTTAGCTCATATATAGCCCTGCTCCAGTGATGAATGACAAAACCCCAGGCCTTTCTTTTTACCAGATGGCACCTCAGGAAGCCATTCAGTATGCAGGGATTCTCTCTTTGCTTCTGCATTTCAAGTGGATATGGATTGGAATCCTTACCTCCAACGATGAATATGGAGATAGATTTGTCCAAACTGTATTTCCACTTTTCTCCCAGAGTGGTATCTGTTTTGCCTTCATAGAAAGAAGTCACAAACAAGCAATTGTCACTGAAATTAATAGCATGTTTACTCAGGGGGCAAAAATACATGATAAAATTATTGATGGTAAAGCCAATGCAGTGGTTGCCTATGGAGAATCCTTTTCAGTTATATTTTTGAGATGGTTCTCATACCTGTCAGAACAACAACATGTGACAAATAAAGAAAAAGGTATTGTGTGGATACTGACAGCCCAGATGGAGCTCACATCTATTACATATCAAAGGACTTGGAGTATAGACATAATCCATGGTGCTCTCTCCTTCTCAATTCACTCCAAGGATCCTTCAGGATTTCAACATTATGTTGAGAATAGGAAGCCTCTGAATGCAAAAGGAGATGGCTTTATCCTGGACTTCTGGCAACATGCATTTGGTTGTATATTTGCAAATGGGGTAACTGAGCGATTGGATGGAGATTTTTGTAATGGGGAGGAGAAACTGGAGAGCCTTCCGGGGCCCTTTTTTGAAACAAGGATGATTGGCCACAGCTACAGCATCTACAACGCTGTCTATGCTGTGGCCTATGCTTTACAAACGATGTTCTCATCTAGACTCCCATACAGAGTAATGGGGGCTGAAGGGGGACAGAAGCTTTGGAATCTACAGTTCTGGCAGGTAATGGACTCAAGGAGTACAGCACCTAGAGTGTCTATGCACACATTCCACCAGGCTCAAAATGCCGAGTAAACTGACTCCCAAGCTGCATATGGCTCCCAATTTCCTACTACTTCATTTCTCTATGAAGTAGGGGAAAAGATGTCTGTATCTAACTATATTGACACCAAGATATTATCTACTCTTTTAAACAATTATATACTCAAAAAACTATTGTTGTTTTAAATAATAACGTGAGAATCCATTTGTTTCTGGGTGTATTTTAAGGAGGCTACCAGTCAGGAATAACTAAAAAGATTTCAATGAAGCTTCTCAAAAGTAAACTTTAAATGTATGAAAACTCTTTCTCATTTGGTTATTGCTATACTGCAATTTGAGGGGGAGTAGAGGTGGGGGGACATCTCTTCATCAAGGGAAAGCATTTTTATAACTCCATCTAAAAGATTCAATGTACTACTGTTAAAATGCATCATGCCCCACACTCTTACATTTCCCTTTGCATTCTAGTCCCATCACTTTCTGAGAAGAGTCTCCTTTAACAACAGTGCTGGTGACCAGGTTTCCTTTGACCAGAATGGGGAGTTAGTAGCTGGATTTGACATTTTCAACTGGATTTTTTCTTCAAACCAATCCTTTCACAGAGTGAAAGTTGGACAGGTGGACCCCCAAGGTCTTCTGGGCAATGTATTCAGCCTCAATGAGAGTTCCATAACGTGGCACAGCTGGTTTAATCAGGTAGGAGCCAATTGCTAGTAATTTCAGTGGGCAGGGCTGGAGTAAAACGGAGGTGGTACCACCTTTAGCCATATTTTGTTCTTCTTTTGTTCTTTAATACTTACAAGGTCCTCTTTCATTTGTGGATTAGGCAAAGCCTCATTCTGTATGTAGTGAAAGTTGCCGTCCTGGTTTTAGCAAGAAAGTGAAGGAGGGGGATCCATTTTGCTGCTATGATTGCATCCCATGTCCAGAAGGGAAGATTTCAGTCCAACACGGTAAGAAATATATTAGAGTGTTACCGGATGAACATAAAAAGGTACATAACCATTCCTTTGCATTGTATCCATTTGGTGTTCCTCCAGTTGCCTTGAACTAGCAGAGATGGCGGCATAAAGCACCTATCTTTCCCTTTTCAGATATGAATGACTGTTCCAAATGCAGTGACGTAAGCTATCCGAGCAAGAACCAAGATTCCTGTGTTCCCAGATTGGCTTCCTTCTTGTCTTTCAAAGAACCACTGGGGGTCGCTTTAGCCCTTTTTGCCCTTTTCTCTTCCTTGATCACAGCTCTGGTGCTAGCAGCATTTCTGAAGCACCACAGCACTCCCATTGTCAAAGCCAACAACCGGGGCCTCACCTACACTCTCCTTGTCTCCCTCTTGCTCTGCTTCCTTTGTTCATTGCTATTCATTGGCCAGCCACAGAAGGTGACATGTCTTCTCCGACAAACTGCTTTTGGAATCATATTCTCAGTAGCTGTTTCTTGTGTGTTGGCCAAAACCACCACAGTGGTCCTGGCTTTCATGGCCACCAGACCGGGATCCAGCATGAGGTATTGGGTGGGGAAGTCATTAGCTAACTCCATTGTTCTTCCCTGCTCATTCATCCAAGCAGGCATTTGCTTTGTGTGGTTGGTAACTTCTCCCCCATTCCCAGATGTTGACATTCATTCAGTAAGAGAAGAACTTATATTGGAGTGCAATGAGGGATCTCTGACTTTCTTCTACTGTGTTTTAGGCTATATGGGCTTTCTGGCCATTATCAGCTTCAGTGTGGCTTTCCTTGCTAGAAAGTTACCTGACAGTTTCAACGAAGCCAAATTCATCACCTTCAGCATGTTGGTCTTTTGCAGTGTTTGGTTATCCTTTATCCCAACCTATCTAAGCTCCAAGGGAAAGTACATGGTAGCTGTGGAGATCTTTTCTATTTTAGCCTCTAGTGCTGGGTTGCTGGGCTGCATATTTGCCCCCAAATTTTATATCATTGTGTTGAGGCCTGAGTTGAATAACAGGGAACAGATAATAAGAAGAAAAGCATGACGTACCTAGATATATCTGTGTTTATTTATATTCTACTATGCAGTACTGGCAGCCTGGTCTGAGCAACAGGGAACATCTAATAAGAAAGAAATGTGATTATATTTTGTCTATAAAAGTGTTGATATTTCCTAAGGCATTTTGTCTTGGCAGCTGCCTCAAAGTTTTAAAAGTCACTTCTAGTTGTTTTGTTTTAACGATGTTGTAGATACTCAGATTTGATAAATGTTCAACCACTACATCTGCACTGCTGAGTTCCATCTTTCCCCTGAATGCCTTGTTGTTCAGTTGCTTTCTAAAAAATGGACGACAACGATGACGATGATAATGATGACAATGAAGAAGAAGAAGAAGAAGAAGAAGAAGAAGAAGAAGAAGAAGAAGAAGAAGAAGAAGGGAACAGATAATAAGAAGAAAAGCATGACATACTCAAATGTTGACATACTCAAATGTGTTTGTGTTCAGTCATATTCAGCTGTGCAGTACCTTTTGGATGCATATGCACTAGTATACCTCTGGGAAATTCACCCTTGGCATTTTCCCATTTGCAGGTCTTCCCTAAAGCTCTCCAAATCATTTTTTTTCTCAGAACTGACTAACCTGACTTTTAGGATCTTTTCACCCAAGGTTCCAGAAATTCAGCATTTTATTTATTTTTTGCCTACAAAGCATACACTCTGCCACTGATCTGCACCATATATGAACACCCTGCTTTGGCCACCATCTGGTGGATATATTGTTTTACAACCTCTTCTGAAACTGCTTTGTGATTTGAAAGTTGTTTCTGGATTTTCCCCCCTCTGCTTACTGCCAGGAAGGAAACTTAAATGCATCATCTTTTTGGTCACAGCCATGAAACCAGTTTTCTCAGAATTTTCAGTTCAATGGAACTGAATTTTTACTTCAATGGAACACATGAATGTGTTATGTGTATTAAATATTATCTTGCAAAGTTCAAGTGTTCCATTTGCAGTGATATATTTCTGCTTATCCCATAGACTATCCCAGAGTTTGTGTCAGCGAAGCTCAGGTGCTGACAGGAGGATCAGAAGCAGGCATAAGGAGAGAACAGTTAGCAGCGGAAAGCAGAGAGGAGGGGGAGAGCAGCTGTAATCTGAGCTTGGAACAAAGGGGAGGAGAAAAACAGGGCCAAAGTGACAGGCAGCTGTGTAGGAGTTCCAATAGTGAGCCAGAAGTTGGAATGCAGGAAACATTCTCTCCCAAATCTCGTAGGATCTCAAAAGTGGCCAAGACGCGCAAAAGTTACCGGAAGAGAAGGTGGGGGCTTCCGTGCTGGGGAACGGGGATGAGCTCAGTCCGGGCAATTCCATCTTCTGGGGAGGATGATGAGTATAGGAGCTCCATCCTAGTTTGTTGTTTTAGCAATAAATCTGAAATAATTAACAGGCAGAGTCGTCTCACATTTGTGGGAGAGACCAAGCCATAACAGTTTGCTACAGTTTTCCTGTGAGACTGATTCTTTCTCTTTCCGAAGCTATTTGTCTCTCTAGAACAGAAGTGATGAACCTGTGCTCTCTAGATGTTCTGGAGTACAGTTCTCATGATTCCTATCCATAGGTCATGCTATCTGGGGCATAGAATCCAACAACATATGACTGTCCATAGGTGACAGAACTCAATTCTGGCTGGGGGAAAGAAGCCCTGGACAAAGCACACCTCAACTACCCCCCCCAAGTTTAATGGTTGGAAAGGCATGATGTATGTTTTTGTTCCAGTGATGTAGGTTGAGATACAAATTGTATTAATTAGCTAATAATTAATTGTGGATGCAAATGTATTCCTTTTACAATTATTTATTGTTGATTGCCATGATGTAGAATGTTGCATGTAACTAATAAAATTGTATACAGTGGTACCTTGGGTTAAGTATTTAATTCGTTCCAGAGGTCTGTTCTTAACCTGAAACTGTTCTTAACCTGAAGCACCACTTTAGCTAATGAGGCCTCCCGCTGCGCTGCTGAAGCAGTTCTGTTCTCATCCTGAAGCAAAGTTCTTAACCTGAGGTACTATTTCTGGGTTAGCGGAGTCTGTAACCTGAAGCGTATGTAACCCGAGGTACCACTGTACTTTGTTTCTAAATTTGTGGATACAGGGAAGTTTTTCACATCCCCAAAACTGTAGATCAACCCTTGGCTGTCCTAAGGGTATCAGGTACCTAAAACTCAAAAGGAAAATCAAAACTATTCAGCAGTTCCAATATACATATATAACCTTTAACTTGGACCATCAATAAACTTTGGCTAGAATTGGAATTGTGTGTTATGTCTAACAAGAGAGTTTTACAGTGAAATACTAAAGAGATATGTCTATGAATTCAAAAGATCAAAATATCTAAAACCCATTTGGTGTACCTCCAGGCCTTCTTAAGAATTGCTGATAGCAAATAGCGACTTGCTGTATTGTATTCCAGGCCTGAATATGATTACTATAATGGATGCTCACCACTTCCCTGGTGGGCATCTGTTGCAGACCCTAACCCTCTGCCTCCTTCCTGGCGGGCCAGACCCGCCTGGTCTCTGGCCAGTGGGGAATTCCCCTGTCATTGCAACCATGGGGGTGTTACCTCCCAGTCAAAAGCCAGGTTCAAATCGGCCAATAAGGGCCCAGGTCTTGGGGAGTTCCTTTGCTGGTTGGCTGGGCATTGGCTACAGCCATGACCAGCCATGGCATCAGTCATGCCCCAGTATTGAAAGACTTGCTATCCTGTCTTACTGCTCTGTGCGCACATTGACCTGACCCCATTGTCCTCACCACCTTGAGAGAGTTACGGAGGAGCCAATACAATCAACCTAGGGAAGACATGAACACTGGCTGCACATTTGAAACAATTTTTTCCTAAGTACCATCTATTTGGACTACTCAGGTCCATACCCACACAACTGTCTTGCTGTCTATGAGCCACCGACTGTCTTGATATTCTCACAAATCTGGTTATTTGTTTTTAATATCAAAGGTATATACCACCAATTCATATATTATCATAGGATGGTGTACAACAATATATACCATGAAATTTAAAACACCATAACAACACGGACTTGTGTAAACATCAGGCTGGAATTTTCCTATTCATCCACTGTTACTGATCAGTAAACCAGATCTATAATTTAAAATCAGTTGCATTGGAAAATATAAATAGGAAGGGGAGGGGAGGGTTCTGAGCCCTCCTGATTTCCCACCCTGCCCCACTCTTAATGTCTCTCCTTTAGGAATTATGTCTAAGAAGACACGTGGTGAATTAGATCTGATAATTGAAACAGTTGCAGATGAAAGATACAATTTTAAAAGTGGGTGATGAAAAACAAATGGATGAATTCCATTTGAATAATAAGGTGAGAGGGTCAAAGAACAATGGCATTGCAAGGCCAACCATTCACAGAAAGAAGTGCAGGTGTCGTTTTATAGAAATATATATATATATTTATCTATTTTTAGAGGAATGCCCAAAATCTAAGAGTTTCCACAAAGCAGTCTTGATTTCTTTGTTTCTCATGCTATATAGATGAATGGATTCAACATGGGAGGAATTATGGTATAGATCACAGCAAAAGCTATATCCAGATCAGAAGAAGCATTAGTGGGAGGCTTTGCATAGGCAAAGAGTGCAGTGCCCATAAACAAAGAGACAACAGTGAGGTGGGGAAGGCAAGTGGAGAGGGCTTTTTTCTGACCATGTACTGAAGGAATTCTGCGCACTGTAGCAAATAGCTGCATGTATGTTATGATAATGAACATGAAGCATCCTAGTCCCAGGCAACACCCTAACACAATAACCCCTACTTCGACAAGGTAGATATTAGAGCAGGAGAGCTTCAGTAATGTTGGAACTTCACAGAAGAACTGATGGACGTCATTTGAACAGAAGGTGATTGCAAAAGTGCTACAAGTATGTAACATGGCATGAAGAAGACTAGCAATCAACACAATGAGGGTCATCTGAATACAAGCTCCTTTGTGCATAATTGTCTCATACTGTAACGGGTTGCAGATGGCAACATAGCGATCATGTGCCATTACTGTTAGAATGGCAAAATCTGCTGCGACAAAGAACATATAGAAGAAAACCTGGGCCACACACCCAGAGTAAGAAATAGACCTGCTGTTCATGATGGAATTGGCTAATGATTTGGGCATCATGACAGAAGCAGAGCCCATGTCCATCATTGCCAAATTAGTTAGGAAAAAGTACATTGGTGTATGGAGGCGATGGTCTAGCGCAAATGCAGCAATAATGAGAAGATTCCCAGCCATGGTGGTCAAGTACAATCCTAGGAACAGAAAGAAGTATAAGATCTGTAGTTCCCGTACTTCTGAGAATTCCCACAGCAGAAACATTGACATGGAAGTAAGATTGCTCATTTTTTCTTCAGTATTTGCATTTTCTCTGTTGGAGGAAGAAGCTAAAACGTGTTAATAATGATTAATGAGCTAATTATATCATTTATTTATTATACCCCATCCATCGGGCTAGGTTTCCCCAGCCACTCTGGGCTGATCCCAACAGATTAAAATCAGAATATAGAACATTTTTTAAAAAATGCTTCCTGAAATTTAATTATATATTCCCCATTCTTCTGCTAATCAAGTAGTGTAAAAACAATTGAGATTAAAGATTATGCCAAAATAGCCCATTTGTAAATTGAAGCTTGCATATCTGTTATTATATAAAGTATCTAAAGTATCTCAAACACTGATTTCACTCCAAACTTTATATATTAACTAATATTTTCTATTTCTGCTCAGTCTGCATGTTTGGGGGACTCTAAGTAATCTTGCAGTAACATGAAGCTATCTGGGGGTTTTTTAACTACTTCCTTTAGTTGCTTTGCCCCACAAAGGAAGCTGCTATTAATGTCACTTGTAGAGCTGTCCCATCACTTGTGGCCTAATTCAAACCCTCATCTGCTATACAGTGGTACCTCAGGTTAAGAACTTAATTCATTTTGGAGGTCTGTTCTTAACCTGAAACTGTTCTTAACCTG